AATTATTGATTTTAATTTCACGTTTCAACATTGAATTTTATTACACATTTGAGAGAACAATTCAGCCTTTTTGATCCTTTAAATATTCTTCCATCTCCCTGTGGATACGACACCCCAAAGCTATGCTACAACTACCGCGTTATTCTTTGGGCGTAATCACAACTCAACAACTCAAGTCCTAGCTCTTGGCAGTAATTTTATCACCTTTGGGATGAATCTGACCCAAGCAGCATGTGTTAAGCTAGACAGAGATAATTCTCTCCTTTGGAAGAATGTTATAATGCCAATTGTAAGGAGCCATGGCCTGGAAGGGTATTTATTAGGTACCAATGAGATTCCTCATCAAACTATTGACAATCAAGTCACCACTGAGACGGGTGTCGTGATTAGATCATCTCCTAACCCTGAGTACTCTAGGTGGCTATCCATTGATCAACTACTAATGGGGTGGTTATACTCTTCAATGACTTCGGAAATTGTGATGCATGTGATGGGATGTAATAGCTCAAGTGAGCTTTGGAATGCCATAAATGAGAATTATGGAATCCTCAATAGGTCCAGAGTGACATTTCTCACATTTGAGTTGCAAAGGATGAGGAAATGATCCATGTCTATGGATCACTATCTCAGCACTGTCAAACAGCTTGCTAATAACCTTGAAGTTGCTGGAATGAATGTTGAACATACTGATTTAGTTACTCAAATTCTGGCTGGGCTTGACGAGGAATACACTCCAATTGTGGTACAAGTCAACAGTAAGGAACACATTTCTTGGCGTGAGTTGTCGTCTATTCTCATGGCTTTTGAGAGTTAGACTGGAATACCTTAGTCAAATCAGAACCAACTTTGGTTCAATCAATCTTACTCAAGGAAATTGACAGAATGGAAATCCCTACACTGCAAGAATAAACAGAGTTGCTAGAAGCCAAAATTTCAGAGGAAGAACAAGAGCGAGAGGCAGATTTGGAAGATCAAATGAAACAAGGAATTCCTGTTAGATCTGTGGTTTGAGTAATCACACTGCTGCGTGATGCTATAATAGGTTTGACGAGAAATATATGGGAAAAAGGCCGAGAGATCAGATCTCCGGTCCCTATCCATCTGCCTACATTGCTAACTCAAGCTTAGTAGAGGATCAAGCCTGGTATGCTGATTCAGGAACCAGCCATCATGTCACTATTGATAAAGACAATATTGTTGAAGCAAAGAATATGGAGGTAAGAAAAAAATGGTTGTGGGTAATGGCACTTCATTACAAATTTCTCATATTGGGTCAAATGTGTTTGATATTGAAACTGGGAAGACACTTGTCTTAAAAAAACTGCCACATGTACCCAAAATCAAGAAAAATCTTATAAGTGTTTCCAAGTTAACATCTGATAATAATGTCTCAGTCGAGTTTTATCCTAATAATTGTGTTGTGAAGGATCTATCAACAAATAAGGCCCTGGTGCAGGGGAAGCTTAAAAGTGGATTATATCAGCTAAACCTACTTGATCATGGCAAAAGACTTCCAATATCAAGTTCTGTCAATCATCATTCACACAAATCTCAGTTCATTTTCAACACAACTCTATTTGAATCTACCAGCTCTACTATAGACAACACATTAAAGCCACATATTGAAATCTGGCACAGAAGATTGGGACATCCACCTATCTCCGTGTTACTTTGTTTTTTGAAATCTTGTAATGAATTCAAGTCTATTAGTAATGATAAAAATGTCTTTCTGTGAAGCCTGCCAGTTAGGAAAATCACATGCCTTACCTTTCAAACTATCCTCATCTCATGCTAAAATGCCACTTGATCTCATTCACACAGATGTCTGGGGACCAGCTCCCATTAATTCTACCTCAGGATTTAGATATTATGTTCTGTTTGTGGATGATTGTACTAGGTATACCTGGATTTACCCCTTAAAACACAAATCTGAAGTCCTTCACTCTTTCACACAGTTTAAGAGACTTGTTGAAAATCAATTTGAACGAAAGATCAAAATCATTCAATCAGACATGGGGGGAGAATATAAAAGTCAAGATAAAATAGCCTCTGAGTCTAGGATTGAACTAAGATACTCATGTCCATATACATCACCACAAAATGGTAGGGCCGAGAGAAAACATAGACATGTAACTGAGACTGGTTTAACTTTACTATCTCAAGCTAATATGCCCCTTCATTACTGGTGGGAAGCTTTCTTAACTATGACATATCTCATAAATAGGATGCCTAGCCCAACTTTGCAACATAAATCACCATATGAGCTCCTATTCCAACACAGCATTAATCACAGGTTACTCAAAGTTTTTGGTTGCTCTTGTTATCCATGCCTAAGGCCATATCAAAAGCACAAATTCGACTTTCACTCTCAAAGATGCATTTATCTAGGACCTAGTACATCTCACATAGGGTTCAAATGTCTAAGTCCTAGTGGTAGAATTTACATCTCCAAGCATGTTATCTTTGATGAAAATTCATTTCCTTTCAAACAGGGGTTTCTTAACAAAATGTCACAAGACAAACATCCTCCTACTAATTATCATCTACCTTTTGAACTGCATTCCCATAAACTACCCACAAACACAATTGAGCCAAATCCTTACAGAAAGGTTTCAGAAGCTACCGATATAATACACTTTATAGAAGAACCTGCACAGGGGCCTCTTGCTGAAAATGAGGAGGAAGGAGTAATGAAGGGGAATTAGTAATGGTAAATGATAACCAGTGTGACATTAAGCAAACACAATAAACTGAAGAAAGCAATATACAGGCTGATGATCAGCTTGAATTCTCTGAACTTGAAAGAGAGTTGAGAGTTGAGTCTGATATGCCAGAAGAGGAACAGATTGCAGGGCATCCCATGGTGACCAGATCTAAAGCAGGAATCTTTAAACCAAAGATATATGCTAATGTTGTGACAAGATCAATCGATGAGATAGAGCCAGTCAGCGTAAATGAAGCTTTGAAAAGTGAAAAATGGTGCAAAGCCATGAAGGAAGAATATGAAGCATTAATCAGGAACAAAACATGGGTACTAGTGCCTGCAGCTCCTAAAATGCAAGTGATTGGCTTCAAATGGGTTTATAAGTTGAAACATGACACTGATGGAAATATTCAAAGGTATAAAGCCAGGCTAATAGCAAAAGGATTCCTACAGACATCAGGAATCGAATATTATGAGACCTTCAGTCCAATTGCTAAGGCACCTACTTTGAAGATAATTCTCACATTGGCTGTCTCAAAAGGTTGGGAAGTAAGGCAAGTTGATATCAATTATGCCTTCCTTAATGGGAAATTGGAAGAAACGGTCTTTATGGAACAACCTCAAGGTTTTGTTGATCAAGATAAACCACTTTTTATATGAAAACTCAACAAAGCCCTATATGGACTTAAACAAGGCCCAAGAGCCTATCATGATACCTTAAAAGAAACTCTACTAAAGTGGGAACTTATGCAATCGCGGGCTGATCATTCAGTTTTTTACCAGGTAACTCAAGACTTTATAATCTATCTACTGGTATACGTTGACGATATCATAATAACTGGAAGTTGTGGTACAAAGGTACAAGAGCTAATTGAAAGGCTAAACACAACCTTTGCCCTAAACGATATGGGAAGTCTGAAGAAGTTCTTGGGCATTGAGTTTTACAGAAACGAAACTGGCTTGCATCTGTCATGGAAAAGATATGCCATGAACACACTAAAAATGTTTGGGTTTGATAACTTAAAACCCAGCGTTACACCGATGGCAGCTGGAAAACTGATTGCTAAAACAGAAGGACGGAGTCTAGAGAATCCAACCCGATTCAGAAGTGTAGTGGGAGCTCTCCAATATCTAACACAAACCAGGCCAGATATCACTTTTGCAGTGAATATAATTAGTCAATTTCTTCAATATCCAACTGATGCACATTGGAATCTCCTAAAATCGCTGTTCAGGTACATTAAAGGGACACTTGAGATGGGCCTGATAATTCAAGAAACACAAGACCTGAACATTATTACTTTCGGTGATGCGGACTGGGCCTCATGCCCAGATGACAGAAAATCAACTGTGGGATATTGTGTATACCTTGGGGGTAACTTAATCTCCTGGTATTCTAAGAAGCAACAAGTCGTGGTGAGATCCAGCACTGAGGCGGAATATAGAACCTTAGCTCATACCACTGCAGACATTGTTTGGATTCAGTCATTACTATATGAACTTTGCATCCTTCAGACAGAAGTGCCCAGAATTTGGTGTGATAATCTAGGAGCAAGTGCCTTGGCATCCAACCCAGTATATCATGCAAGAACCAAGCACATTGAGCTTGATGTGCACTTTGTTCGTGAAAAAGTTTTGGCCAAACAAATTATCATCAACTACGTTCCAACAACAGACCAGGTAGCTGACATTCTAACCAAACCATTATTGAACTCCAGGCATCTGTACCTACGAAGCAAGCTTGGAGTTACAGAGACTACCTCCAGCTTGAAGGGGGCTATTAGAAAAGATAACTCTGGGGACCAAACTGCCCAAGACAAGAAGATAAGGGATAAATGAGTAATTATCAAAGAAAATGATAAAAACGTAAAACCAGTAAATAACAACTTTACCTTACCAGAACTTGAAGGAAATGGAATATTACCGTACAGCTCTTGCAACGGATTCAACCATAGCACTACCAACAATCCATGATTCCAGGGATACCGGCAATGGAGCATAAACCATATGATTGAGTGAAATTTGTATGTATTGTAAGTAATTGTTTTGTGTATAAATAGGGTAATGATGTTTCACTGTAATTGAATTGGATTTCATCGATTGTGATTTATCAAAGTCATCTTCATCAATTCTCTAGTTCCTGAATTTTATCTATACTTTCTTAATTAAGTAATTATTAACGGGTTACAGATAAACATAGGAACAAGACTTCGTCTCCATTCATCCTAGTACCTAGCACAAGGGGCTATTTCTTTAGAGAAAGGATGCAGCAGGCCTCACATAGGTGAAACCCTGAAAAAGGCTACCATCAACTTTGGGACTGGAAACTGGAGAATCAGAGAGCAGCATTTCAGTGTAACACCTATCAAAGTTAGCAATGCAGTGTTTCCCTGCTACTTCAGGCCGAAAACTTGGTTGCATTCCCCTGCTCTCCAATTTCTTCCAGTTAATTGGCTTGAACCATTTATGACCCTTGATTTCGTCACTTCCCTTTGGCCCGCTACCAAGCCGCCTACTGGGTTCCTTTTGCAGCAGCTGTAAAGTAAGAAAAACTTGGTACAATCAAATTTCTGCATATATGAGATTACGAGGAAAGCTTACAAAAATTACCCCTTTGAGCAGAGAACGTGCTTCACTCGCAAAAATGCTGGCAGCTGTATCTTATCCTTAATTATCTTTTGCTGGATTTTGTCTCGATTTCCACCAATAAAAGGAGGCTGCACTGATAAGTTTAAATAATCAGTAAGCAAAAATAAATTCTCCAAGATGAGGTGATTAATTTTACAGGAGATAGCAGAGATAGACATTTCAATACGATATTCAGACTCTTTCCTCATTTTAGTTATCTTTTGCACACATGTAAAGCCACCCTCGAAAAAAAGGAAGTCAGGAACTACATATCTAGGCATCGGAAGTTCTAAATAACATAAAATCAAAAGATAATATTCTTCTCCTGCACCTGCAGCCATAACCTTCTAATTCCTACATATTTCATGACTAAAACTCTTTACAAGTTCACAAAAAGTCCAATAATGCAGGACCACGTAAAGAAGCTCATAATAAAAATCAGGAAAATAGAAGGATGGAGATATTGAGAAGCAGAAAAATATGATAAGGATTGACTATACTAGTAGAAGACGGTGCTTAAATGAAATTCACATTTAGAACTCCTATAAGATGCTACCTTCCCAGTGAGCATCTCAAACAATAGAATTCCAAAACTCCACCAATCAGCAGCTTTGTCATGTCCCTTCCCAAGAATAATTTCAGGTGACATATATTCTACCGTTCCACACATTGAGTTTGATATTGTATTATCCTCTAATTGCTTTGTCAATCCAAAGTCAGTGAGGATGGCCTCAAATAAGGATAAGAAATGAGCTTCACATTTTGTGTGCTTGAGCACAGATGCACAGGCACAAATGTGCAGAGAGAGAGAGAGAGTACGTGACCATCTTCATCGAGTAGAATATTCTCAGGTTTGAGATCCCTATGCATTATGCCATTTGCATGGAGGTGAGACACTGATGAAACAATCTCTGCCGTGTATATGCGTGCCAGATCCTCTCTTTAACACGTAGCATGTAATTAGCAACTCACATAACCAATTAACAAGGAAAACATCAACGGAACAAAGAGTACCTGAAAAGCCCATGGTGATGGAGCCGAAAAAAGAGGTGTCCACCATTTATAAAGTCCAGCACCAGGTAAAGTCTGTATTTTGTCTGCATTAGAGAATAAGCTAAATCAATATGAATGTCGGCATGAACTCTAAAGATGGATAATGTTGAAGATATATGTAGCTCATATTGCCAGTCCCATCCAAGAAAAGACATAATTGAAAAAATAAAAGAAACAGAAATCAATAGAAAAGAAAAACCATTTTCATAAGATCTAAATCTAGCGCGTCAGAAACTAGCTAGTTTACAAACCTGGAATGAGCATCTGAGTTGGACTATAAAGGGATGATCAATTTGTGTCAATATATCCCTCTCTGCTTTCATTTATTCAGCATGGTTTTTCTCCATAATCTTATCCTTCCTCATTGTTAGGTAATTGCCTCAAAAGTCAAAGCTGGAGGACTTCTACTGCAAATAATATTAGGTCATTATACATCCTATAAATAGTTGAGGTAGTCTATTATTTTAGGGCAGCCTGTGTGTGGCCGTCGTGACCTGCGTGGCCGAGGCGTGGCCTGTGAAGAAAAAACGTGGCTGCTACCTGTGAGAGAGAAACAAAGGCTGCCTGTGAGAAATTGAGTGGTGGCTGCTGTGCTGTTATATATATATTGTGGCTGTTGTACTGTATATTATATATACAGTGAGAAACGGGAAGATTACATTGGCTGCCAGAATTGAAGTCAAAGTGGGTGGCTCCAATTGAGATATAATATATTATATATTATACATTCACACACTGACAGCTTTGGTAATTGGTAAGGGAAGAAAACAATATATATATACATACACTCAATATACACGTAGAAGGGCTCTCAAGAAGGCTGCAGCAGAAAGCATCTATTTTCTTGTGTAATACTTTGGGATTAGGTTGGTGAGTGATAAATTCTATATGATTGTAACAATTTTTCATATAGTGGAAAAGCTTTGACGGTCCATTTAAATTTGTGCGTTATATTCTTTATTTTTCTTGTTTGCTATTATTATTCCGAACAACAAAAGATCCTGCGGGTTAAGTAGAAAAGGGGGAATTGGTGTGAAATTTCCCAA